GGGGCTTCTCGGTTTGTTTTGGGGCTGTATAGCGGTGTTTAAGCACGGATTTCGGGTAAGCGTTCGCCTGGGTGAAGCCGCCTTCTTCGCCACACGCTTCTCCGCTGGAAACCGGTGCGAGCCCGCCCCGGGCTAGTGCTGGCCAGGGAGGCAAGCAGGAGGAACGCTCTTAGGGGTGTCTGGCTTTAGTCGTGAAAGCAGAGAAACCTCGATAATCACAGAACGACAGGGGTCGGAAGGGACCTCTGGAGATCATCTAGTCCAACCCCCCTGCCAGAGCAGGGTCACCTACAGCAGGTTGCACAGGACAGCATCCAGGCGGGTTTTGAATGTCTCCAGAGTGGGAGACTCCACCACCTCTCTGGGCAGCCTGTGCCAGTGCTCTGCCACCCTCAAAGTAAAGAAGTATTTCCTTGTGTTGAGATGGGATTTCCTGTGTTCCAGCTTGTGCCCGTTGCCCCTTGCCCTGTCGCTGAGCACCACTGAAAAGAGTCTGGCCCCATTCTCTTATTTATAATATGGGAAAGAAAGCACAGAGAAAGCTTCGAATAATGTTTCCACTATTTAGACTTCAGGACTTGCTCCAAAAGACAGGAGAGGTTGATACTTCCAGTAGCCGTCGGTGACTGGTGCAGAAGAACCTCGCTCACTCTGCTCCTTCACAGCAGTGGAGCTGTGGCCTTGCCTCATCCCACCCCTCTTCTGTGCCTGCTGTGAGGGGTCTGAGGGACATGTCTTCAGACCTCCTTTGCTGACAACCCTGTGATTTACATTACCTTCCTTTGGAAAGAAAATTTGAGAATTGACAATAAAAATGAAATCAGGGCCACTTTAATGCCTCCTTCTTTAGCTGAATCTGCCCAACGGAGGGTAGAAGAATGTAGTCCAGTGTAGCCCTGGTCTGTGGTGGTATGTGATCCTGAGAAAACCCACAGCCCTGTGCTAGAGAATATGTTCTCTATTCCCATCCCCTCCCTCCACCGGCTCTCCCTGTGTCCCCCAGGTCCTCATCCAGAGCTTGCCTGTGTGACACTGTGAAATTAGGGTAACAGTAAAGTGAGGAGAACAGCCGTATATGCAGCATGTCTCTTCTGGGAACCCTTCTAGTGTCTGGATTTTGGATCACAAGTTCTTCAAAGCAAGGACTGTCCCACTGGGCTATTTGCTGCTCTGCTTGCTTTTGTTGTGCCATGCTGCAAAGAGCCTGTGCTTATAAAATACTGACAACAGTAGCGTAACCCTAACCACAGGATTAGCTGTGTTCATTTCAGGTGAGCCAGAATATGAATTCATCCACAGCCAGCTAACTCGCTTTTAATCCAGAATAATGTGTTCCTTTTATACTGCGTGGCAACGTTACCAGCTTGCGTGGGATGGGTGCATTTTCCCATTGTGACACTGTAAAAGAGCTGGTAAAAGAGGTAGATATCTACAGCAGGACTCGCAGGGCACAGCGGTGCTGCATACCGCAGCCTGACTGGATTCCACAGGTAGTTCCTAGTTTTGAAGCTGCCTAAACTCCTTCATCAACATCCTGCTGACTTCTAAAAAGAGGAGCCTGATGTTTTGCCCAGGGGCATTCCCAGTCTGAGCAGCTGGTTCATGCCTCCCTCCTGTGCCCCATCTGGACCCAGAGATGCAGTGTCCCTAGGTCTTGGGAGGGTCACAGTCTGGTACACGTGTTCTGCTTACTGCTGCCAGCATCATATTCTTTATCACGCGAAACCGTGAGTAGCAAAGACCCATATACCCAAGAGAACTTCTCCTTCACTGAGTAATGTTTAAAATAATAAAATACTTGATATTGCAATGGTCCACAAGTTGAAATAGAACAGCCTGGGGCTTTGGGGAGTGATAAGGGATACTCTGATTCCAGTTACCTTTTTGGTGCAGCCAGTGCTGGCTCCTCTGTTCTCTGTCCGTTTGTGTAGGTACACGCACTGGATTGTGAAGGGTTGGAAGTGAATATGCTTAGCTTTGATAGGAGGGAAAATTCCTCTAGAGATTATGATCTAATTAATCTAATTTGTAAGCAATTTACTCTGAAGGTTTTTTTCAGTTGAAAACTAATCAACAAAAATGTCGTGACTGCATCTAAAAGAGAAAGGACATAATGTTGAAACTAAACTTTGTAAAGTAACAAACCCTAATAAGACTGAAACACGGATGCAGTGATCAGCTTAACAACCAAAGTGTAACATATAGGACAAAATGAAATAGAAATCTGATGCCACCTCAAGTCCTCCTAAATAGATAAGCAATCTGACGAGGGCTCTTTAAAGGAGCTTGCAAAGCCACAAGATGATTAAATGAATGGAGGTTGAGGTAAGTAAAGTTCAAACAGGAAGTAAATGACACACTTTTAACATGAAACCTGAATAATGACTGAAGCAGCTTCCTTATATTTGTGGCCAGTTCCTCATATTTGAAAGTTTCATAATGTTTAATAAAGTTTTCTATGACCTGAGAGGACAAGGTGCAGGAATTTAAAGTCCCAAGTCTTGATGTGACAGGCATTAGGCAGAAAGCTAGAATGTATGATCTAACTGGTTCCAGCTGTGTTTAAGATATAGTAAATATAAACTGCAAAATCACACAAACATTTGGGATTCGGGAACTAACTGTCAAAAAAGGGGTATATAAGCCCCATGATATTCAATTGCCTTACTAGGGTAATTAAGAAGTCAGACTGATTGAGTATGTCTTGAAGTTGTATGAACTGAAATTTGAACTAAACTTCCAGCTAATGATTTGGGGCTTCAGATTAAAAGAGTTGAAGCTTTGCAAGATTTATCTTTGCTCATAATAAGTCAATGCAGAGGTTTTATAACAAAAGGAACGAGACAAGCAAATGTCTGAGCAATTATTTGGCATTTCTAATGAGGAGATGTCAACTGGGATATGGAATAAATTAAAAATAAATTGGGAGCAAAATATCCATATTTTGTTGTGGTTTCTTTAGCACTAAAGTTATACTGTGATGCTGAAACAATTCAGTAGATAACTTCACTGACGCCAGGGAAGTAACGTTTGGGTTTTCATGTACGTAACAGAGATCCAGTTTGCCTAAATAGCAGTATGTCACCCCAGCTAATGTATGTAGAGGTGAATGAAGCATGGGCGTAGATACACGGAATCTACCCTAGTGAAAAACTGCTTATTCTGCTGAGAGACAAAGGTAGGAACAGGGGGAATGACTGTGGATAAATCAAATGTAGTTGTGCTTTTGGAAATCAGTGGTTTAGTATAAGACACAAAGGTTAAGGTTTATAGAAACTTGGCAAGATATGGAGGCACCTTGCTGCTTTTTTTTTTTTTTTCCTCCTAAAACCCTGCATTTGTGTTGTTCACTCTCAAAACTGGCTTCCCAATAGTTATCAGCTCCTAACCATTGGCATTCGTTTGAACTCATGCTTGGTAGGTGTTAATAGGCTCCCATGAAAAAAAAAAAGGGGGGGTTAGAGGCTGGATAAGGCTCTTCTAAGCAATAAACTGGACCTGTCTTAAACTGATACAAGCCCAGTATTTCTAAAGTAATCCAGTAGACATTGTGCTGTACCCATCCTTCCACTGTACACTGCCACTGCTGCTGTGGTTCCCTCATCCAGCATCCCACTACAAACCTCCCACCACAGCAGGCTGAGAAGAGTCCACAGGAGCAGAACTATTTCTTGCTGCATGTTGTCTCTAATTCTTGTTGCTGTTTACTTGGATCCTCAAGTTGGGCTGACCTTTAGTTCAGTTTGAGCTACCAGAAGACTGTTTTGGCCACCACCTGCACCTGGGATTAAGTCTTGGGAAATCCAAAAGGTGCCACTGGGAAATTCGCTAGAGGTGGCCTCACGAGCCCAAGTCCAAACTCAAGGGCAATTACCAAAGGTGACATCAACCCAACCACTGAATTTGGTGGAAAGATTCCTG